CACACACACACAGCCAGGCCAGGTGACATGTTTTCACTCTGCTGGAAGTATTTCTTATTTCTGAAATGACTAAATGAAAATTCTAACTTATTTCAAATTGAATTTATGTCAAACTAATTAATAATAAAAAGCAGGGGAATATTAAAATGTTAACAACAGGATTTGGTCAGTAAGTAAAAGCCTTCATCCATTTAACCTGTGGGGCATTTAGGTTTTAGTAAAGTAAGAAATGCTGGCATACACAATAAGATTTCGTTTATTAAGGAGACACAAAATAGTGTAAGTAAAAAATAAGTATTTTATGGCATTTGTCTCCCTTCACAGTGAATAACTCGCTCCATAGATTGTTTAGATCAGATTAGAACAGGACTTGAGTTTTCAGGAGATTCTGGACAGTAGAGAGGAGTACTACAGTAATTCATTTCTTGCTCTTCCATTTGTAGAAACACCACAACTTCCACTGAGTCTACCTCATGGTTAGTTATGACAAGATGGTTGACACAGGCAGAATGCTTTATGACTGAGTTTAAGTGTTCAGATCCTGCAGTGACGAAGCGTTAGTGACTCAAACTTTGTTCTGACAGACATTAAAGCCAGGGGAGGTGGATGACTAATTGACTGATGTGACCCATTTGTTCAATTATAAACTCAATGGGTCACTGTGTTCTATAGGTGTCTTGCTAGATGAACTGTTGGAATGAACTACAGGAAATCCTGTTCCAAGAGCTGTCAGAGGTTGAACCTGCCCTTTCAGGAACCTTAGACTGAAACTKAAGCAACAAAACTGGAATTTTTTAATCTGACCAGAATTCAGAGGCTGTCTAAGTAGATGTGTGAGCTGAGGTTTTAGTATTGCAGCAGGAGTCTTGCCCGAGTCAGAAAAACACTTAATACATGTGTAAATTCTAACATAATCGAAGGAAAAAAATGCCCTGAAGGAGGTTGGTGGGCATCAAGTCCAGCAAACATGTAAACAGACTGCTGTGTGTCAGGATACCTCACTCAGTCAGATGGCTGCAACTGGGAAGGTTTGCATCCAGTTTTGAATTTATTTTAGCAGTTTTGTGAAATAAAATTTTGTGAAATTAATTTTTGCCATTTAATTGCCTAAGATTTATATAAACCGGTGCTAAAACATTTGTTTTTTTCTTTGGTAAATTGACTTGCTGTTATTATCATGTTTCCTCATAAACAGTGTTGTATAAAGCAGTGGTTCCCAACCTTTTTAGATTTGTGTACCCCCGAGCCATTTTGTCATACCACTAGTGACCGTTCAGTCAAACGTAATGATGATTCTTCAAAACTATAATGTACTACAACCAATTATTACATGAAAATTATTTATTTAACCCCCTAGAATGTTTTATTCTCAGGYAGTTTTTCAACTCAAATTAAACATGAATATAAAAAGGTTACCTTAAAAGTGAAGAAGTAATTAAATAAATAAACAGGTAATGGCAGGTGCAGAAAACAGCAGCATCCAAAATACATTGTATTGTCCAAAATACAGCAGAAACTCACCCAAATGAGTACATTTTCTGAGATTCCACATTTTACATTGGATTCCATTTTGTGCTAATTCTGTGATTCTATCTGCAATTTCAATGCTTATGTACCTCTGGATGGGAATCACTGCTTTAGACAGTGTAAAGGGCTGAAGGAACTGTCCAGGGTCCTGAAAGTGCTGGAATGTTTCAGGACTTTAGCCCAGTGGTTCCCAACCCTTTTAGACTTGTGTGATTCCATCTGCAATTTCCGAATTGTGGAAATCATAGGGCCCTACATTTTGGAATTTTTTCCATGTACCCCGTGTAACATGCTTGCGTACCCCACGGGGTACACGTACCCCTGGTTGGGAATCATTAGTATTATGTACCTCACAGTTATACTTGATTTCTGCAGAAGAGTTCTATTGTTTAGTTTGTATGTTTTCAATGTCATACTTTTAACAGGTTCTTGTATTTTTTTACAGATATTTTCATGAACTATCGAGCCCAGGCCACTGAACAGATGAGTTTTGCTGACTGTAGTTATTTTGAGGGTTCATCCAGTGCAGGATTTGCTCCCATTACCCCTCCTGTGGTAACCGGCACCCCGCTGCTAATTGACACCCAGCTGGCTCAGGTATAGCTGATGAAGACGGCCCTGCTGTCTTCATATTGTTACATTTCTGCAGAATACATGATGTTTCTATCATCTAAGCTACCTTTCACACAGGAGAGTGACTCCCATTCCACTCTTCATGACCGACACAACCTGTTAGAAAGTGGCTGAATGTTGGGGAAATTTGAAAAACGTCTTTCCGCGAGAAGGAGAAGGCAATCTGGATGCTTTGACGTGCTTAGTACTCACCAAATAGATTTTTGCTATGTTCTTCTCAAAGACTTTCTTCTGCACCCTCTCTCCACTGTACATCAGCAGCACATTCAAATGGAGATACTACTACATACATCCACGCTTGTACTGCCTCACCATAACCCACATTCTAGTCATCTGGCCACATTAGTAGAACTTAACCAACACAGGTATAATGTCTGTGCTATGTTGTTTCCTTGACACTCTACAAGCTGCAACTTAAATATATATATATATTAAGCCTTTCTGGGTCAATGCATGTTACATAGTTATGCAATAATTTAAGTGAATCACTGCTAGTGTGTTGTTGGCATAATGGGGTCATCATTGTCGTCACTGACCATTGACGCCACATGGAAGAGGGCTCCGTTTGTTCAAGCAGTGTTTCCCCTACAATTAAATAAAGAGGGCGGCCCATCCATCCATCCATCCATCCATTTTCTTCC